TTCCCTCTATCCCTCTGGCCTTCCATCTGGCCATCCCTCCCTCTCCCCCTGTCTTTCTTTAGGGTCTCACTATATAGTCTAGGCTGGCCTTGAACTTGCTGCAGTCGCCTTGCCTCTGCTTCCCCTTTGCTGGGTTTACAGCTGTGCGCCGCCTCGCTTGGTGCTGTCCTCTTGGGCTCCTTTCTCTCTGTCCTTCCTTCTCTGTGAATAAGTGCCTGAAGTCAGGGACAGACAGAGACCGTGGCCAAGCGTCCCAGAGAGTCTGGCGTCTTCAGTAACTTTCTTTGCCTTGACAAGTGTGTGAAACCAGGGTGACCAGAGAAGACATCCCTCCTCCCTCAGAGTTCTCCATTGTTTTTCCTCTCCTGGGGTTGAGACAGTGTCACGGTGTAGCCCTGCCAGTTTTCTGCTCTTAACTCTGGGGGTCAAGAGATAACAATGAGGACTTCGGGTCTCTTGGGGACAGTAAGATGCCATCTGTATTTCGGGGGACTGTAAAGACAAAGTTAGTGGGTGGAGTGGGTTTCCTCATGCCTGGGATCAGGGAGACGGGGTTCTGACACACGAACCAGATCTGCAGACAGCGCTAGCTGGGCCCCTGGCTTCTCCCACTGCTCTGGTAAACTGAATGAGCTTGGAGTCCCTGCTGTCTATTCTGTAAAGTAGGGGGACAGTCCCTAGCAGATAGGTTATGATGATTAAATACAACAGTACAGACGAAGATCCAAAGCCGGGTGTGGTGGTTTCCGCCTATAATCTCAGCCCCCAAAGACTGAGGTTGGACTGGTGTCAATCCAAGGGTAGCTTGAGCTATATAGTGAGAACCAAGCCACCCTAGGATACCTAATAAGATCCCATCTCAAAACACCAAGAGTCAAGCCAGCAAACAAACACACACACAAAAGCAAAGATCCAGAGTACAGCTGGATCTTGGTGCATGGCAGTTGGGGTCAACAAGCTTGGAGTGGAGGAGCAGGCAGGTAGGGTGCTTTCACTGAGAGTGAAAAAGAAAAAGAAATGGAACAAGGCCTCTCAGGCATCTTTATATAGCCAAAGAAGACCAGAAACAGGGGTATCCCCTGAGGTAGTGTACCACGTTGCCCCTGGGGCCTGGGATATTTTCATGAGGGGGGTCTGACCCGGAGACTGGGTTATGCTTGTCTTCTTCCGAACCAGCCAGTAGCTGGTGTGAAGTAGGGACCCAGACATGCTGACTGTCCATGGGAAGGCATCCTGGTAGGGCTGGAATAGCCAGAGATGAGGAAGCTAAATTAGATGTGGTAATGGGTAAACACTTTAGAATCCTATAATCCCAGCACTTGAGAGACGAAGGCAGTGCTAAATGGTGTGCTAAAGTCCAGCCTGGAGAGATGGCTCAGAGGTTAAGAGCACTAACTGCTCTTCCTTTGGATTTCAATTCAGTCCCCAGAACCCACATCAGGTTGCTCACTACTGCTTGTAGCTCCAGCTCCAGGGGATCTCCCCACCCCCCCCACCCCCCCCCCCCACCCCCCCCCACCCCCGCTGCCTTCCAAGGGCACCTGTGCTTACGTTCACATGCACATACAAAGTAATAATAAAATAGCCTTTAATCCCAGCACTCAGAAGCGGAGGCAAGAGGATCTCTGTGAGTTTGAGGCCAGCCTGGCCTGCATTATCAGTTCCAAGACAGACAAGACTACATAGATCCTGTCTCAAAAAAAAAAAACCACTGAAGAAATAAAGAAATAGAAGAGCTCAAGAGAGATAGGGAGGAAGGGAAGAGGAGGGAGAGGTGGAGGGAGAGAGAGAAAGAAATAACGTCATTAAACCAAATGCCCCTCGGCTGGGATTCAGATACTAAATTACTAGCTGCTTCCGAGCCAAATCTGACTGAGACCAGGATCCAGTTTCTTAGCCCTGGGGGATCCCAGACACGGAAGGATGCCTTGGGGCCTTCTGAATCAAGACACAGGACTGGAGAGGAAGCCAGCAGTTAGGAGCACAGCCAGACACCTCCAGTGTCTTCCAGGGTAGGCTGAGCTTCAAGACAGGGAGGGCAGTGGAAAACTGTGGCCCACACCCTCCCCGAGAAGCTCCAGCCTCCCTCTGCCTCCTCCTGGGTAAATGCTTCTTGTGCCTCCAGAGACAGAGAGGGTAAGGAGGAGGCCTGCAGCCCATGCTCAACAGAAGCGGCTGTTGGCACTGCCCCGTCAAGTGTATCTTGGGAAGTCTTTGGTGCTCTCAGAGTCTGTGGAAGGCTGAGTAGAACTAGGGAATTTGGGAGTTCTGGTCCTCCCCCAGGGCGTCACGTGGGGCCCAAGAGCTAGCAAGAATCATAAGTTCAAGGAGTCAGCTGTTTTCCTGTGTGGAAGGGCATGTGGGGAGGAGTTTCGAGGTGCTCTTGGCCATGTGCTCAGTCCAACTCCCCTGCAGACGGCAGGCACCCTGCTATTTCCTCAGGATACCTTGCTGGTGTTGAGTAGCAGTGCCCAGGAAGATGACAGGACAGCAGCCAGAGATGTAGAAAGGGCCTGGAGGAGACCCCTTAACAAGGGACTCTCTGCTTACAAAGAACAGAGAGCCGCTGGGGGTGAGGAGTGGGGGGGGGTTGGGGGAGGGAAGGGAGCTTTACGAGAGGATCTCCAGGTTGAAGGAACATTCCATTTGGAACATAGGGGGACCTAGGGTCCCAGTCTTTACAAACCACATTCCTGGAGACTGGAGAACAAGAGCCTTTAGCAGCGGTTCTCAACCTGTGGGTCACCACCGTGGAAAAACCCGTCTTTCCGATGGTTAGGAACTGAGACACCACCCAGTAACAAGATTCCAGTTGTGAAGTAGCAATGAAAACAGTGTTATAGTTGGGGGTCACCACAGCTCGAGGAGCTGTATTAAAGGGTCACAGCGTTAGGAAGGTTGAGGACCACTGCATGGGTCTTTCATCCAGTACCTGCAGCTCCCTCTCTCTTGATAGGTTTATGTGCAGATGGGTCACAACCCCAGGAGGTGTCCTGAAAGTGATTGCGCTTCAGTGGGACCAAAAGCCCCTCGGCAGTCACATTAACAACTCCGTGGCCTTGGTGTTCGACTAGGCCAGGGATTGTTACGTGGGTGTAATGACAAAGGCCCCCTTGGGGAAAGAGTTGACAAGTTACCTTCAAGTGACACTGGAGGTGTGAGCCCTCCGGCTCTGGTTCCTTCCTTCCTGCCCAGGAGTCATTCTCTTCCTGTTGTTTTCCCAAGACTTTTCTCTTTGCCTTTTCCCTGTTCTGGGTGCACAAGCTGTTCCGTACTCTCTCCCTGCACAGAGGCGGGTCTGAGAATGAGGCCACTTTTGGAAATCATGTCTCTATAGACAGTTTTGTTTCTTTGTTTGTTTGAGACAAGGTCCCTATGTAGTCCTAGCTGTCCTGGAACTCTTTATGTAGACCAGACTGGCCTTAAACTCAGAGATCTTCCTGTCTCTGCCTCCAAAGTGCTGAGATTAAAGGCGTGTGCCACCATGCCTGGCACCTCTGGACAGTTTTTGAGGCAATCTACCCATGCCACCAGCCTGAGACCAGATCCTAACTGAACCTGGTGAACAACCAGGCTGCCCTGAACACTCCATCAGTCCAGTCCCTTTCATGTGAACTTGGCTGGAGAGACAGGGCTCCCAATAACCAGAAATACACTATTATCTCACAGTTGTTGGGGATCCCAAACCGTCTGCCATATTGGTGAGACTCCAAAGCGTTCTTGGAGGTTGGTCCAGGCTTAAAAAAAAAAAAAAAAATCAGGCAAAAGGAATATGGTAAGCAGAGCACTTGCCTAGCTGACATGAGGCTCTCTAAAAGAGAAAACAACTCTGGTTAAGGCTTAGTGGTGCAGGCCTTTAATCCCCAGCGGGAGGCAGCGGCAAGCAGCGGCAAGCTGATTTCTGTGAGTTTGAGCCCAGCCTGGTCTATAGAGTGAGTTCCAGGACGACTACACAGAGAAACCCTGTGAAGTCACGTGGTGGTGTAGGCCTGTAAGCCCAGCCCTTCCTTAGCTGAGGCAGTAGGGTGCAGATCTTGAGGTGAGACTGAACTACCTAATGAATTCTGGACCAGCCAGGGCTGCTCTCACAGATTCCATCTCAAAAAGAGAGGAGGTAGGAGGCAAAAGAGAGAGCTGTGTAGAATTGGGTTTGCCCGGTTCCTTCATGCGTTCTAATGGAGACTGCCTTGGTGGACTGGGGGGCCGGGTGCAAGCTGGATTATTCAGGGGCTAAGAAGGGAAAATAGAAACAGTGTGTGTGTGTGTGGGGGGGGGGGTGCACTCCTTACGCTGGTGAAGTCTCTGAGTTTGAGGCCAGCCTGGTCTATAGAGTGAGTTCTAGGATGGCCAGAGCGACAGGGAGAAACCCTGTCTCAAAAAACCGACCACCCCTTCCCCTCCCCCCCCCAAAAAAAGGGAAAATAGAGAGTCCAGAAATCACACTTTAGATAGGGCCTCCAATACCAAGCCTGGACCTCAGGTAAAAAAATCAACAACTGTCTATCTGGTTGGTGCCTTTGGTCAAACTGTCTCTCTTTGCTCCAGTTAGAAGATTTGGCAGTCTTGGTGAAGAACTGAGGATCCCACGCTTGAACTTCACAACTCATTAGGGTTGGAGGGACTGAAAGGGGCTAAAAGCCTCTTTTACTGAGGTGAGGGAGGCTGCATACTTGGGACAGGTACATTGTCAGCCTCCACTTACTGTCAAGGTAGGAAGGTTGGCCAGATATTTTAGGAGGGATGGTTAAAAGCATCTTGTCACCTTTAGGCCAGCAATTTGCAAAGCACAGGGTGTGTGATTTGAAGTATACGAATGCAAAAGTTTCTTAGCACTCCGAAGTCGCGGAAGGCTGTTCTGGGTGGCTGCCACTGGTCTGGCCACCCTTACCTCTCACCAACGCCTTAGCTGTAGACACGCCCATGCGCCCCGCCCACTAGGCCGGCGCCCCGCCCACCTTCTCACTTAGCTTGGGACTGACTCCCGCGTTTTGTGTCCCCAGGCTGCTGAACCGAATGTCCTCCGAAGATCGGCACCTGGGCTCCAGCTGCGGCTCCTTCATTAAGACGGAGCCATCCAGCCCATCCTCGGGCATTGATGCCCTCAGCCACCACAGCCCCAGCGGCTCCTCGGACGCCAGCGGTGGCTTTGGCATGGCCCTGGGCACCCACGCCAACGGTCTGGACTCGCCGCCTATGTTCGCAGGTGCGGGGCTGGGAGGCACCCCGTGCCGCAAGAGCTACGAGGACTGTGCTAGTGGTATCGTGGACGACATCAAGTGCGAGTACGTGCTCAACGCCATCCCCAAGCGTCTGTGCCTCGTGTGCGGGGACATTGCCTCTGGCTACCACTATGGCGTGGCCTCCTGCGAGGCCTGCAAGGCATTCTTCAAGAGAACCATCCAAGGTGCGTGGTGGGCGCTGCAAGGCCTGGATTCAGGCTGTGGGTGGGGACTCTGTCCTGAAAGGTCCAGCATGCTTTATTTTCTTAAATTCAAATCTGGGTTCCCTGGGAGCAGAGGCGCTCTGGAGGACTCCTGTTTTGTGTCTCAATGTTTCTCACCCAGGGATTCTAGACAGGGGGTTCTAACCGTAAGACTGTAGATATACCGTGGACCTCCCTGCTGCACCCCTGAAACACCGAAGAAAAATCCACGCCAATACCCAGTCCTGAACTGTCAAATGCTCGACTCTTCCCTCCAAAAGTTTATTTTTTTGGTGGGGAAAAAGATAGGTGTTAGCATCCTTCGCCCCACCGTTCCAGACTTGTGAACTAGAACTCTAAAGGGTCTCTTGGTTCTTATCTTCATTGTAAAAGGGTAGGCCTGTCCTCGGTGGACGGGAACTGGCAGCTATTCTGTTTACCTTAGGCTGTTTTTCCAGTGCGTTTGCATATCACTTGGGTCACCTGCTGGTAGCCCTGGGGTAGACACCTCTTTCATCTTGATGAAGGTGTTCAGGAATCCTGTTACTTCCGGCTGTGTAGGTAAGTGGAGGATAATGGTGGCCCAGCCCTCACTGGGCAGTCTCCTTCATGGCCCAGAGGGACTGGGAGAGATTCTAATCCTGTCAGGTTAAGTGTAGAACACGCTTCAGTCAGTCAGCCTGACTGAGTGCCTACGAAGCACCGTCTGTACAGGTAATTGAAAAGTGCTGATTCCCATCTGGACAGAGCGCCAGTCAGCTGGAGGAAACCCCGGGGGGTTGTTGCCTGTGTCTCCCAGTCTGGCCCCTCCCCGACTGTTCTCGGCCTTTCGGCCTCCAAGGTGTTCTGTTCCAGTGTTCTCCCTTGACCACTTCGGAAGAAGCTGGCCAAGCTTCCCTAGGATGAAACTATTGATTCAACAGATTTTTATTTGTTAATCTCCTCAGATAACAATCTGGTAGACCAATTGAGGGCATTAAAGGTTAGATATGTTTACAATTCTACTTAATCCATTGAGAGCCCAGGCTAACCCACCAAGCTCCTGACTCAGACTCTTGAACCATTTATTTCTTACCTGTGAGGTCAAACTCAGCTTCCTCGTGCGCTGTATGAGGCGGAGTTTTCTCTTTGGGGTTTGACAGCCCTCCGTAGGGTCAATTCAGTGTGTCAACAAGGCTGGCCTTGACCTCCGGTCCTCCTGCTTCTTCCTCCCAGATGTCCACCTGCTGGGATTAGAGGCATGCTCTATCCCTACCACAGCTAGTGTGTGTCGTGTGTATGTGTGTGTGTGTGTGTGTGTGTGTGTGTGTGTGTGTGTCTCACTTTTTTTTCTTTTTTCCCCATACTCTATTGGAAATTGAACCTAGGAACTGATTGTGTACGTGTGTGCTTGCTAATCAGAGCACAGCTTGCTGGAGCAGCTTCTCTCCTACAATGTGGGTCCCTGGGATGGAACTCCGGGCATCAGCCTTGGCTGCTAGCTTATACTTTCACTTGAACAGTGTCCCTTTACTATACACACTTTTGCTGTGACAACAAGTGTAATCTCTTGGATCACATAGGAAAAACTTTTTAATCAGCATATATTTCAATAAGGTAGTATAATTATTTTGATCTAATAAGATTTAGATGACTAAACTATTTTCGGGCCTCCGAGATTGCTCAGTGGGAAGAGTCTGCCGCCTAGCCTAATGACCTCTCGGTCCCCGTAACCCACATGGTGGGTAACTCCTGACCTCCACGTGGGCACTGTGGCACTCGTGCCCACACTCATGCCCACAAAGTAAATACAATGTAATTAGCCTATAGTAGTCATGAATAATGATATTTATTTGGTATTTTGTGACAGGGGCTTACTATGTAGCCTTGGCTCTCCCCAAACTCAAGAGATCCACCTGTCTGTTTCTGGAGTACTGGGAATAAAAGCATACACTGATATATCCGGCCGTGAATAATACTTTAAGCAAGCCCATTTTAAAAACATGTTAAAATGAGAGTGTCCAAAGTGTTAAGGCACGTTTTTTTGTAAGCCCTTATCACCACCGCTACCACCCCTCCCCGGCTGCAAATGTATTGAGCATCTTGTAGATCAGGCTTTGAGACAGATGAATGCCTCCAGGCCTGGCTGCTTTTTATTCCCTGCTTTGGTGCTGGGGGTGGAACCCAGGACCTGGTGCATATGGGCGTCTGCAGCTTTATCCCCCTGCCCTTGGGTGGAAGGAACCTGGGCTCTATATGAAATGGAAGGAACCTGGGATGTATATGAAATACGTTGTGCTCTATATGAAATACGTTGTGTAGCAGACAGTTCTGTCTCTTCCTTCAGCCATGGCAGAGAACTAGCAGCTCAATGAAATCTTACAGATCAGCGGATGTTTGCCACGGAAGAGATGTTTAAATCAGCGTATGTTACTGAAACCCTAGGTTTTTCTTCCTAAATTGGGACGTGGCCTTCCAGGCTCGTTGTTTTAGACACAGCTTTTTGAAAATGGGATTTTAGAAGACAGCATTTCCCTCCTCTTTTAATGGTGTCTTTAAACGGAGTAGGAATGTTCTAGATCAGATTTTCTGGAAGCTGAGGCTGGTGTGTACAGACCCAGAGCCTCTGCCACCCCCTCACCAGGTGGCCAGGAGTGTCTTCGGGAAGATCTGTAAACAGTACTAATTATGCGCTACCATGAAAAGGATACAGATCTCTTCCTAGAAGTTGGCTGAATGCTGTGGCCCTTATCTCCAGGAGAGGTCTGAGCTCATTACCTGGTGGGAGAGTCTTCTCTCCAGAACAGTGGAAAGCTAGCTTGAGGCCGGAAGTTGGCCGGATGCTCTCCTTAGTAACTCTTGGGTTTCTGTCTCACAAAGATTGCAATCATTGCCTAGCCCTAGCAGGCTAGCTGTTCCCCGGTCTCTACCCCTCAAGTACTGGAGTAACAGGAATTCTCCACCCTGGTTTTCATTGTTTCTAAATGCAGTCAAACAGCAAAAGAATGAAGTAATGGTTTGTTAAGTTCCTGCTCTGTGTAAGGTGCAGAGTGGAGACGGGAGAGGTGGGGATATAGATCATGTCTTCAAAAAAGCTGAATTCGGTGCTGAATGCTCAGGGGGTCTGTAGTCTTCAGGCATGGCAGTAGGCTCCAGACCAGAGCATCTTTCTCCTAACCAGGGAGATGGGGCCATTTTCCTTTATGTGTATGGTCAGGGAGGGTGTTTTTGGTATGAGGCAATGTGTGTTTGTTTGTTTGTTCAACTTTTGAGACCTAGTTAGCCCAGAATTTGCTGTGTAGTCCAGGCTGGCCTCGAATTCACAGATCACCAGCCTCTGCCTCTGGGCCAAACTGGAACCTAATCTCCTGAACTACACCTCAGCCTCAGGCCATCTTTTAAAAATCTGGTTTTGTGGGCTGGGTGGAGTGGTGATTGAAGTACTGGGGATGCAGTGGGAGGCCAGCCTGGTCTGCATAACAAGTTCCAGGTCAGCCTGGGCTACACAGAAAAGGTTTTTTAGTCTGTGGATCGATTCCCAGGCAAACTTCTGTAGGCTGTGAGCGCCACAGCTTTTCCAATGCGTTCATCCCTTCCTGTCAGAAATTGCTGTCTGCTCCTTCATGTAGGAAGTTTGCAGAAACTAGGATGTCATGACAGTCGTCTGGAGACAACCCCTGGAGGTCCATTCTCTGAGCTTAGCCGAGCAGGTGGGGAGAAGAGAGGGTTGTGAGGTGTTGGGCGAATCAGCCTGCCTCCAGATTTTGTAAATCAAGTAGGGCTGGGACCCAGACAAATCCAGCATGTACTTGTCATCTCTGGCTGCTCCTAACACGTGATTGAGCCAGGGCAGCTGGATGTTGGGCCACAAAATCCTAGACTTCCTACCCACCCCTTAGAGAGCCATACGCCATCAGTCTCCCAGCTTCCGCAGTGGTGTGAGTGGGATGTCTACACTGCCTCTGACAGGATTCATTGTTAGTGGAGCGAGCTTGCAGAGCTGGGGGATGTGGCGGCCTTGCCCAGAATAGATGAGCTCAGAGATAGACAGAGGCACCTTCCTGACGGACATGGAGGCTCCTGGCACAGGGAAGACAGCCATCTGATTGAATTTATTTAGCATATCTAAAGGGCGACTTGGGACTCTCCAGGAGGATAAGCCTGCCCTGGGAGCAGAGAAACTGGCAAAGGTGCCTACCTGCCCAGGAAAAGGGACGCTGAGGCAAGGGACAGCGAGATGGGATTAAACATCCAGCCGATCTGATTAATAGCTTTCTGATTATGACCTCGTTGTGAACTTGCCAGTCGGGTAGACAGATCAATTTCTTCAGGCGTTCTTTCTGCCTTGGTATCTCTGGGGCTTCAGGCTTTGAACTTGGGCGGAGGGGGTCTGCCCCTCACAGACAGCCCTCTTCTGGGCCTGGCAGTATCTGACTTTTAGGGGTCTTCGGGCTGAGTGTCGGTTTCCAGTCTGTGATACTGATTCCTCACTAATGAAAGCGGTAGGCGTGAGGTTTTCTGAGGAGAAACTCCAGGGTCTTGTCCATTGACCTTGGCCGCTCTTTACAGTGACTACCTACCTTTCCACTGGGTGTGGGTCCTTCCATCAAGAGCCACCAGTCCTCAGACAAAGTCCCCTCAAACCTCCCTCTGGTCCTGATTCCCTCCTCCTCAGTGGTTTTTGTTTTGTCTTGTTTTTAATGGTGATGGTACAGTTATCAGTGATGACGCTCGTAGACTTCATCCATCACCAGCCCTTATGATGTCACGGACACTATTAGCAGAGCTTCAAATCCCTGAGAGGACAATAAGCTTGGAAGGGACAAGCTTCCTTTCCCCGAACCCAAGGCCCCTCAAAGCTCCTGGCATGCAGGAAGTTCAAAGTGTCTGACCATGGGACAGGCCCCAAACAAAAGTGGTCCCTCATTTTCCCAGTAAGGACCAGCCAAAGACGTCCGGCCAATTTGCATATATATAACGAGTGGTAGTTAGGGAACTCAGCA